TGATGATGGCGTACCTTCGGCCCGATTCGATGCTTGTAGTTGTCTTTATATGGTCTACATATCTGAATACGAATTTATTATTTTTGGTGTTTATTGTATTATCATGATTGTAAATGAATAGATGCGAAGTTTCTCAAAAAATAATATTTTTTAGGGCTTCTTGAAAAATAAATGAGTAGCTTTTTTTAGGATATTAAATGAGTAGCTCGTTTTTCGGGCCGCCTAGGATATGAGCCATGGACATTGACGGCCTGCCAGTTCAGGCCCAAGGGAAGCCCGCCCCGGCGAGCCACACAAAATTCATAGGTCATAGAGACAATAGCCAGAATGCCACTATGAGAAACCGAACTCGCCAAAATACCACTATGAAAAATCAACTTGCCAATATACCACTACTTTCAGTTTTTTCTAGCCAAAATACCACTAGTGACTAACGGAGACTAACACCATCCAAAAAAGACTTCTATACCCTTACCTCTTCACAGCCCAAAGCATACATTTCAACAACAAAAAGAGCAGCTATAGTACAACATTACAAATTCAACATAATCTAAGTTTACACCATTGAACATCAATATAACAACATTTCAGCAGCATTTTGACAGCATTTCAGCAGCATTTTGACATGAAAACATCACCAATTCAGCATAATCTCAGTTTGCATCATTGAACATCAATATAGCAACAAATTAACAATGATACATAATGGTTCGAAATAAGATAACATCAACAACGATACATAATGGTTCAAAAGAAGCTAGCATCAACACATAATGGTTCAGACCACTATTTCTTCAAACAAAAGATCATGGTTTTCACAACCATAAGCAAAAGATGATGATTCTCCCAACCAAATGCACTAAACTCGTCGTAGAGGGCTAGGAGCAGCAATTTTACTCCTTGTAGATCCACTAGGAGGTGTACAAGCAATTGCAATAGCTGCTGCCCTCTGCCTTGTCATCGGACTCGTAGGAGTATCAAGTTGAGTACCGTGCTTAGTTGGTGTCTTAGGAGAAGTAGCCGCAATGCTTGCTTCAACCTTTGACTTTTTCCTACATTCAAAACAATATTGTTAGTAATTAATATGCAGGACATTTGGCAACAATGTGAGAAGAAGTAGTATCATGAAAGAAATACCATGGAAGAGGAGTAGCATCATGAAATAAATACAAGTGAAAGAGATGAGACTTATGAAATAAATACCGCGGAGGAGGAGTAGCATCTTGATCCGCGTCACTTTCCATCTCAGGCTCCTTGCATGTCTTTCGGAGATGGCCTATTGCTCCACATCTTTTGCATTTGTGTCTTCTACCGGTTCCACCTTCGGTGTAATTCTTTATCATCCTAGTTCTTGGACGTCCAGCACTCTTGGTAAGTTTGGGAGGGATCATATCAAATCCGGGATTTACCTTGGGCCATTGGGATCTGCCCCTAATTGGCATGAGAACTCCAGCATATGCCGCTTGGAACCTTGCCACTGAGAAGCACTCTGCAACATAATCCTCTAGCTTGGCTTTTTTGGAGAAGATGAACCGAAGAGCATGTGTGCAAGGTTTACGACAAATCTGCCATCTTCTACAAGAGCACTCGTTTTTCTTCAAGTTAACGATGTGCCTCCATCCATTTCCTGAAATCTCAGCTATATTTGGCGAAGCTCTTGCTTCCAAATAATGCAGCCCCTTACTTTTCAGATTCAACTCCTTTATCACACTAGGTAGTATGTAACCTAGCAGCGCTTCACCAACGGCTCTCCTTTTCTCGAACAATATAATTATCATTTCTCTAAGGTTGTCCAAAAGCTCAACAAGTGCAAGTTGCTTCACATCCTTAATCCAATTGTTGAAAACCCCTGCCAAATTATTGCTAACATACTCAACTTTTATCATTGCTGAAAATTTGCTTCTTGTCCACACACGGTTGTGATGCATGTTCAAATAGGCTATTGCTTCGACGCTTTGTGCTTGTATTTCTGCCATTAGTGAATCATGCTTCTCTACTTCATATGTCCAAGCTGCAGGCCACATATTATCTAGTATGTCACCTTTGAACTTTTTCTTGAAGTTGAGCATTAGATGCATCATGCATTCTCTATGTTCACAATTTGGGTATACCTTGGAAATGGCATTCTCCAACCCCTTGCATGCATCGGTATGGATTGCAAGCCCTTGTGGTTCTCCAATAGCCAATTTCAACTGCTCCATGAACCATACCCAATTTTCTGTATTCTCTTTCTCAAATATTCCAAATGCTACCGGAAACATCCAACTATGCCCATCTACACCAATTGCGGCTGCCAATTGGCCAGTGTATTTCCCACAAAGAAAAGTTGCGTCAACCCCCAAATATGGTCTACACCCTGCCAAAAACCCATCAATGCATGGCTTGAAGGCAATGAACAACCTATTGAAAACATGCACAATTTCACCCTTATTATTGGTAGTTGTTTTTACGTCTATCTCAAATATACTTCCAGGATTGGCTGCCAACAATTCAGCTCTAAAGTTCCACAACAACTGAAAATTCTCTTTATATGTACCTTCTAATTGATCCTTTTGCACGAGCTCTCCCTTTCCAAACATCGGTGTATTGAAGCTTAATATCATACTCCCTTTGCAAGCGTTCTTTTAGCTGTTTTGCACTCACCGTGGCATTCTCCTCAAGTGCAGCCTCCCCTTTATCAGCGAGCCAATCTCTATTTGCCATTCCTTTGCTGCAGTTTTTGCTCCCACAAATATGTTCAAAGGGAAGTTTCTTTACCTGCAATGACATCAAGAAACTCAAGTGTCAAATAAATAACAATATAAAGAAAAGAAATAAACAATAACATGTGCCAAAGAAAGAAGCAAACAATGCTACTAATCATACCATGAAAGTGTTAGTGTTCGGTAACTTGGAGGCATGTATCCTCCATGGACAATCCTCATCGGTGCAACTAGCCCTGAATCTTTTAGTGTCACTATACTGCGTGTCAAAAGACCAATCTTCTCTAATTGCTAGTTGTCTCAATGCAACTCTAAATGCTTTGGAGTTAGGAAATGTGGCTCCTACTTCAATTCGAGGATTCTTTTTATCGTGGAGATAAGTAGGAGCCACATTGTTTGCGAGTAATGTCTCATCATCCCCTCGCACACGATGTGGATCATAAGAGTTGTCAACATCTAGTGTTCCCAATGGTACTCTTGCAGCCTTTGGCTCGACATTTTTCTCCTTTGACTTTGCATTCTCCTTTGACTCTGCATTCTCATGCAAATAGGTGTTCTCCTCACCGCATCCTACAGGCTCATCATCCTCATACTCGCCTTTATAGGCTTGCTTCGACCAAGCAAAGAATGGAGCATGAATAGGTTGATCATCCATATCCTCGGCCATGACAGGATCTTGTTCCTTGTGTTGCTGTTTGTTCTCAATGGTCACACCAAACCTCACTATTTTTGTGTTAGAACACCTATCAAACAATTCAGCTATCTTTGATTCAGAGATCAATGGGATGGTGTTATATCCTGTTCCATACCAAATGGTCATTCTCTGATCAGGAGACCACTTGAACTTCTCCTCCACAACCTCCTTTATCCGCGTCACAGACAAGTCCCGACCGACCATGAAATCCCATGTTTTGCCCCTTCTGTAAACTCTTTTGCCGTCTACAATCATCAAATAGGACCGAACATCTATTTCTACTTTGAAATCGCCCATTGAATCAACTCTGAAACACACAAACACAACAAATTTCTAAATTTGCTGCACTTACAATGAAAAGAACTATGAAAACAGGGGGAAATTTTGTACCTTTTGCCGCTGGAGATGTACTGGAGGGTTGGAGGCAGAGGAGCCACTCGAAGGCGAGGTTGCAGGGGAGGCCGCGAGCTGGTCCGGTCGGTGCCAAGCAATGGAGCGCCGCCGTCGGGCTGATCCGGGAAGAACTCGAGCAGATGGACGAGCTGGGTCAGGTTGCAATGGAGCAGAGGAGGCCGCCGAACTGATCCGGGACGAGCTGGGGCGGATCCCTCTGACCGGAGCTGCGCCGTTGGGCTGGCTGGCGCCGGAGCCGATGCGTCGGGCGACCAGCCAGGCGCCGACGAGCGGGAGTGAGGGCGTTGGGCTACCCAGCCACGAACCCAGGGAGGAGGAGGAGGAGGGCGGCGCACGGAGGGAGCTGGGGATGGGTGGCGGAGAGGGTCGATCAGAGGGAGGGAGGAGCTGCGGGGCGGCGCCGGCGCCGGCTGGTTCCTCGCGCCGCCATGCTCCTGGTGTGTGCGTGCGGGAGAAGAGGGGGAGGAGAGGATAGGGTTGAGCCCAGGGGTAATTTTGGAATAGCCAAAAAACTGACAAGTTGCCTCCGGTTTGACTAACAGAAAAAGTTTGACAACTAACGGAAGTGTTATTTTGACAAGAAAAACAGAGTGTGCAGTGCTATATTGGCAAGTTGGTTTTTCATAGTGGTATTTTGGCAAGTTTGGTTTCTTATAGTGGCATTCTGGCTATTGTCTTTACAGCCTGTTTGTTTCGGGGTAATTGGCATTAGGGAATGGGAAGTAGGTGGGTGCAGCACTTATAGTCCCTTGTTTGATTGGAGGACATGGGAATTAATGAGGGAAGAGGAAAGGGAGTTACGAGTCAAACTCCCCCTTATTTCTTACCTGGTGGGGGGCTGGTAATTGAGGGAGGGAATGGGAAATGAGAGAAAAAAACCTGTTGGCATGGTCATTGCTCGCGTTCCGCATGTGTAGGAATGGAGTTTAACCGATGGGCCCATTTCTTAGTTAGTTTTTCTGTCAAATTCCCACGAAAAAGTCCCTTCAATCACCAAACAAGGGAGTGAGACTAGAAATCTATTTCCCATGTCTAAACCCCACAGCCAACTCCCACCACTAATTCCCCCTCCCCTTCCCTAAGACTACCAAACACGTTGTTAGGTCATAGCCTCCTGCGGCGGTCGTCGTCGAGTCCTTCCTTCTTCCCCGCGGAGGACGGAGCAGAGCGACGCAGCGAGCGCAGCCGCCATGGACCGCGTGCAGCTCCTGCTCCTGGGCCTCCCCATCCTCCTCTTCTGCTCCGACGTCGTCACGCTCTTCGCGCCGCAGCCGCCGGCGGCCCCCAAGCCCCACCGCCACCCCCAGCCGGCCTCCGGCGCCTTCCAGCCTGGCGACTCCTCCCCCGACGCCGCCGATTCCGCGCAGGTGGCGGTAAGTCTAGTCTTCTCCTGGATCCAGTGCCCGTTCGGTTCCCGATCTGACTGAAGCGGGACGATCTCATGTGCCTTTTCGTAGGAGGCGCAGGTGGATGGACCTGGCTCCGGCACCACCGTCGAGCTGAAGTTCTGCGCATCCTGCTCCTACAAGTAATTCCACACATACTCTTGCTTCCGTGATAATTTCAGAGGTCAAATCCGAGATATTTTGTTAGATTTATTTACCGTAACTGATGGTTGTGGTACACACTCTGGCCGTTGACCATACTGAAACCTAACGTTTCATCACAAATGTCCAAATTGTGAGGCCCCGAAGTAAGCCCATGTGTGTAATTTGGTTAGTGTAGAACACCCATCACATGACGGCCAGTCAACTGAGCTCCACTTTGCTCGACTGATGTTGAGAGCTCAGATCTCAAAATCTCCGTAATGATGCGAACTGGCTACAATATGAAGGATCTTCAGAATTGAGATCAATATATAGCTGAAATTGTTCACTAGATATTCTGTAGCGTTTGCCTATTTCCTAACTGCACGATTGTAATCCCTAATCTCACGTGATTTGTTATCGTAGCTGCCTTGTATGTCACACACATGTACTCTCTATAGCATGATGGAATAGTTGCATCCGCTTTGCTATTCTTTACCAGCGTCTATGTGGACATCCTCTAACATACTCCGACCTTCGGGTTTTTGGGCTTTCGGCTGCCTGTGGTACTGGTACCCCAACCTATCTGCCAGTGCCAACCAACACGCTCTCGCATCGATCCACAGCCTGTGTCTTCCTTGGTTATCCTTCCTCGCACAACTCGCACAAAGGCTATCACTGCCTCGACCTCTCTATTTCATCTTGCCATTATTTCTTGGTACGTATACGCTGATGAGTCTATTTTCTTTTATGCTACCACCCTCGATTTCCACCGACACGAGCGAGTTGCTCTACTTTCTTGTACAGTTTATCAGCACCACTATTTCCGCCCCTTGTGCCCTCCTTGATGACTGCTGCTGCTCCTCCTC